ACCTACCAAAACCCCACAAAACACACCACAAGCCTCACCGAACGTCTCCTTGCTACCGCGATCTTGCCCACAGGAAGCCACGACCACATGGCAGCAGGGAAAATGGCCACATATCCTGTTCGTACCCTGAGGCGGAGTTCGCAAACCGAGGTAAATTTCTGCGGCCGGAGCTGGTCGTAACCCGAAAAGTTCGTTAACAGAGGCGTTCATAACCCGAGGTACCACTGTATAAGGATTATTAATAGATCTTCCTTTGATTCTATTATTTCTACTCTGCTAGATATGCAACTCTGAGCATATGCATTACTGATGAAGAAAAAAAGTTGTTTGGTAACATAACAATCACTATATAGATCCTAAAATAATTTAAACCTGGTTTAGTCAGATTCAGCCCACATTTTCTCCATCTGTTCTCATATTTCCAGAGTAGCCATATTATTCTATTGAAACAAAACCAAAAAGGCTCTTTTTTCTTTATAAACCTCTTTTCTGTTTCCCTCTTCCCAGTTTTAGATGTATATATAGTATTTTCTCTCAGAATTACTACTCCACGCATCTGATGGACTCTGGTCCATGAAAGCTTATACTATAATACATTTCTTAAAAAGTTAAGGTCCCTTTGGTGGGATGGAATAAGAATCTACAAAAGAAAACATTATGCATGTTTTAGTAGTTAACTTTATAATAGTAGTTAACTTTATAATATGTATCCAGTGTCATGTATTCTTAATTGATGGATTCTCCATAGCAGTGACAACATTCTGTCAATGAACCTAAATACCTATAGAATTTTTGTCTTTAGTGAAACACCACAGATTCAAGGATGGGCAGTGACTGCTTCTTTATTTCTCCTCTTTTGCAGCTAAATACTGGGTCAGCTTGTTAGAATAACAGTTAGAGAGCTGGTACTTCAAGGCTGCTATATTGCATTCCAAAGAAGGTGACTGTAATATCTTCACACTTTCATACCTACAGTATATCTTGATTCTTGCTATCTTTCATTCTTATTAGTTGTAAAGCAATTCTCCCGTGTAGTTGGGCTTAAACTGCCATTGATTGATGCTCTATATAAGATCTATTATAATCTTAGGGCTTTTAGTCTTGGCTTACCTGGACTAGTAACCTGCTAGCTTTAGAAATAACAACATGATGATTTAATACTCTCCAGTTGTCAGCATTTCTTGGGTGAATTTTCCACTACCGACCCACCAGACTCTCTGCTCCTTTCTGTCTGAGTAATATCTCAAGCAACATCATGCTTTGCATAGCTTGGTTACATTGAGGAGACAGTATTCACAATAGCTAGAAATGAGGAGGTCTACAGCCATATAAGACATTCCCAAGCATTTTAATTTCCCAAATTCATCTCAAGGTAATACTGAAGATCACAGAAAATTACAAGAAGACCATAGAATGTATGCAAACTTTCAGGTTCTGGACCTCCTCATTAGAAAGGATGCCAAACAAACCAAAAGGGGAAGGAAAATGAAAGGCAGCCATAGTTGAAGCTCTGGAATCTGTATGTGTTGTGAAGCCACTCTGCTTTTACAGTGTTCCAGACTGTCAGCTGCATGGTAGCAGATGGCAGATATTCTCAATCAGCATCTTCTCTCAGGCATGATCATGAGCATATAGCACAAAGCAGATCCCCCAGCCCCTCACTTCTGCTAGAGGGGTAGTGGAGTTTTTATTGTTTTAAAACAAAGACAGAAATTGGGTACCAAGGCAAGGTAAAGGAGAGAAGGTTGTAATCCATAAAAATCTAGAAAATCCAGGGAAGCAAGCATGTCTGCTGGAATGATCCATTTGTTTGTATGAAATAGGTAACAGGTTTGAAATACTGTATATTTTGAATGTGTGCAGCTATTCAAGCTTTATTGTCTCTGATATCTATTGTCTCTGTAAAGTTGCCTCCAGATAGGAGCAAACCAACATCATCTTAACTCAGTTTTATATTCTTACATATGTGTTGCTATCTCCTTATCACTGAATGTTTGTCTGTGATTGCTTAAAGCCAAAATGGATTTTTAAAAATATTTTCTCTTCCTCTTTTTCAAATAAAGTTTGATTCTATTTATTTCATGTGGGATTGGTCTATTTCTCCATAAAGGAAGAGGGGCTGATATCCCTAGCCACATGCCTAAGCAATACAGGGTCAGGAGTTGGGGATATATCACTAATTTCATTTTTTCTCATTTACCCCCTTTTAATTTACTGTACCAGAAAGTAGTATAGGATATGGGTTAGGATGTATAGTTAGGATGTGTAGACCCAGACATTTTTTGGGGGGGTTGAGACCTCCAACCTCTCACTCTAAGGCCTTGACCATACAGCTACAATATATAATCATCGTTTTACACTGAAATATGGGGAAAATTCAAATTAGGCTCCACCAGGTGCTATAACAGTTTCAGGCAGCACCTAGGATTCTCTCTAAAAGTTCTAGATGAAGAAAAACTTAAGTTTAGTCCTCCATTTCTGAAAATACAACAGTCTCTTTCCTACTGTTACACAGATAAACTAATCCGTTCACTCTGGAGTGCAATTAGGAGAAGCAGATTCCTACAATAATGTTTTGCAACGTTATTGCAGATTTCTTGCAATGAAGCAAATGCATGCTTCCTTCATGATCTAAATAGAGATGCAATGATGTCATTCATAAGTTAGGTATCAATTATCAATGACATCATTTACATTCAAGGCAGGAAAGAAAGTTTGCAACTTAAGAAAGTTAAAGGCAGCATAGCAGAGACTTTAAAAGCACATATTCCCTTCATTTTTCTCAGATTTGTAAAGGGCTATAAGACAAACAGAGGAGTTCTAGTCTTTGAACAAACTATATTTGCTTCAGTATTATGGGGACCTTAGCACCACCCATATTTCAGTCTGACAGAACTGCATCCTGAAAAATCTGATGGGACCTAGTTCTGTTTAAATCTATGCTAGAACATTCAAATTCCAAGTGTTAAAACATTGAAAGGTGGTGAGAAAATTGCACTTGCTGCTAAATATTTCATACTCTAAGGCTCTGAAAAAGTTTAGCAATGAATTTAGCAAGACTGTAAACTAAAAATAGGCTAGTGAATAGAATAGAACAGCAGCAGTGTAGAAGGGAAACTCGACAACTGACACTTCAACTAAGCAGAAGTTTTTAATTACAAATGTGCTTATGGGGGCTATGAAAAACATTGCCAGAGGTTGTGTTTTGGCAAGATTAGATTTTTTTTTACCAATGTGGGAAGTTAAACTGTGCTAATTCTCCCCACATCCTACTAATTTGGTTTAAGTTTATCATTTCAAAATAATTCGGCTCAGCAGCAGTCGGTTAAAGGCTATTACACAAGCAGATATTCAGAATTGTTTTGATGTTAAGTGCCTATTCCATTAGTAATTCTTTATTAGTAAAGAATATGTGACTGCATCAGTAAGTAAAAGGAAAGATAAGTAATTCAGGGTTCCTACATCCCATCTAATGATAAAGATCCATAATCAGTAGCAAGCTTATACTTGCCATTCCACTGAAGAATTGTAGGGGTAGATGTCAGCCCTTCAAGGTAGACCAGACTAGGAAACCAAAGTCATGCATGCTAATTCTACTTTTAATATAAGACTATAGTAACATAATCTTGCAAGTCTGAATACGCTTCCCCCATCCCTTCCTTTATCTTTGTGACAACTAGGGAGGATCTTGTCTGAGACACTTTCTCAAGTTACAGTTCTGCCCCAGACTCAGGTTTCTTTTACCTGACCATTGTCTTGGTAGCAGCTCTTCCTCCTGTTCCTCAAGCTTATTCCTTCTACCCATTACAGTAGTTAAAGATTTTAAATTCAAAACTTTTTGAACTCAAAACACTCCATTTTGTTCAAAATGAGTCATCCCAATTATTCCAGAAGTGTTATAAGGGCTACCACATCCAGGCTGCAAAAATCCAGGTAAACACAAAAGCAACTATGGTGTCCATCATTTGTAAAAGCTGCAAAAAGACTGCAAATGCTGGAGGAGGCCTCAAGGGGCTATGAACATGGCTGCTTCTCTTCACTCTTAGCAGAGAGAAGGAATCGTGTTACTTTGCAAAGCAGTAGCAAAGGAGTGTTTTGCTTGAACGTTTCTTGAAATGAAGTGCCCCTCCCTTGAAGGTTTGCCTAGTCTGAATAGAAATTGAAGTACTAAAAATAACATATTTCTTCAACTAACTTTCCAGTACATCAGTAACCCTAATAAAACTACATGCCTTGTAAAAAGAATAATCTTTTCAAACTTTGGCTCCTTTGCATTTATAGACTACCTCACTACAATTAAAGGGCTATACTTTCAATTATCCTACCTTTCTTAAAATTAAAAACACCCACCATCACAGGATCTTGCTACTGCAGAGTTCATGCATGAGAACCATCTCACCATGGAATGAAGTAATATCACAGTCTCCATCCTTCTCTTCATGGATGAAGTTAGCAGATTGATTGTTCAAGCCAGGCCAGGCCAGTAATGGTACCCAAGTTTTTAGGATAATCCACATGCATTTACTTAGTGAATTTAGGCCACTTTTAAACACCCCAAAACCTTGTCCTTGGAGAATAATAATCAATATTCATCCTTTAGGTCAGCCTTCCCCATTGATGCTGTCACTTGATACCTTAAGCTCTGGTTCTGGTCCAACACCTCTGGATTTTGGCACTAGTTTGGCAAAGGTTATTTTAAGCTGGTAGGCATTGTCCCTCTTTCTACTGATGTATAACAAGTAATTGTTCATTCAGATCATGTCTACTTACTTTCTTTCAGTGGGAAATCCATGTAGAAAATGTCAAAATTGGCATATTTCTCAGATTTTGCTATTTCTTTCAAGACATTGGAAAGCTGCATGGCTCTCTGGAAAAAAAAATCCATAAAACATGGCCATTACCTTATTGATATGAGAACTCTGCCAAGACTTCAGAGTAGTATCTCTCTCTCTCTCTCTCCCCAACAACAGGTGAGCTTTGTATTGTCAGAGCACTTTAGCTTCTCTGAAGGAAAATATATATAAATATGCCAATTATAGTCTGAGTCAAAACACTGACCTCTCTTTTGACAAAGAATTGTCTGATTGGCACATCTTTGACCAGTATGCTATAAAGATGCTGCTCGATTTCAGTGGCAACATTCACTTACAGATATCAGATTTTCAAAGCAAGGTTAATAACACTAAAGATTCAGTGCTCCCGCTAACCCATCTCCACTACTTCTGATTATTTTTAGGCTAGAGCAGGCAAAATTGCTGGATTGAAAATGGCCCTTGAGAATCACTTCTTTACATTGAATTCACTTAGAGATGGTTCATATGTCAAGGGAACATATGAACATATGAACTTCTGAGTATATGTGAAGGGGAAAGCATATTTGCAAGGATCTCCATGTCAAAACTCCCTTGCATGAGTAAAATTAACATATCTGGGAGAACCCAAAGCTACAAGTCTGTTCTATGGTTCATATTCATTCTTAGACAGAACAGTCCCATAAGTGGATTGTCCCATAATGGCCAACTTTGGGATATGAATTTAATCTTTCTCTGGCAATGAACAAGAAAATATAGGCTATCCTGCTTCTAGCCATTTGAAATCCTATGTTTATATAAAAAAACTTTGAATCAAGCTCAGTTCCTAATGGCATCATGGACATGCCCGTGAAGTAGTCTAGGCAGCAATACCAAATTGGTTTGCCAGAGACTTCTTCCTGGATTACTCTCTCTCGCCCATAAACCTCAATGTACTGGTGATCTCCCTTCTAAACACTAACCAAGCCAGGTGTTTTTTTTTTTTTTTGTGATCAAAGTTGGGGAGGTGTTGCCACTTGCTTAAGCTCTGCTCCTAGAATGAGGGTATGTCTGTTGAATCACCAAGAGTTAAACAGGAAATCTTAGTGATATTAAAATTTAGGCATTCCTTTTTTCAAAAGCAAAATAACACCACAACAATCCTTCTTTTAAAAGTCTAAACATTGTCCTTTTAAAAAAGGGAATCAAGAGAGAGAGAGAGAGAGAGATGATAGATTTATATAGATGAGTGAGAGAGATTCATACTATTTCTATATTACATACCTCTGTAGTCAAATTCCTAAGCGTGCCATTTGAAGTTATCCAGCCACTGCATTGATTAACCTGTGGAACATGAAAATGCTGTTTTAATATGGCATCAGTATTATATATGGTTGAAAAAGATCAACCCAGTCAACTGAATTGCTGACTGGTAGCATGAACAGTAGCAGCTGGAAGTGGCATCAAAAACAATTCCTAAAATGATCAGAAGTATAGATAAATAGCAGAGCATTAGACTTTCAGTTCCAGTCAGGAAATGCCAAATGAATGACGATTAACCAAATGATTTGCTTATACATGGGAAACATTTGTTTTCAATAGATGTATCACAAACAGCCAATAACTATATTGAAATATTTCTGTCAAAATGTTGCCCATGTTTTTAGCAGTAAAGACCTGGATGACCTACAAAAGGTTTGGCAGCCAAAGTTAAATATTAACATGGTGCTGTACTTTCCTCCTACTTTTCTAAATGCACTTTGATGGCATCACATCAGGCTTCACCACCTTGCCTGGCCCTGGGGCTCATTATTTCCAAAAGACTTGCTAACACTATTTCAGAAAGGAAAATGCTGAAGATCAAAACATTATGGGAAAAGTTTTCTTCTGCTAATGTCTTTTAAAAAATCTGCACTCCACAAAATTCTGCATCATGTTGTGCAAGCACTCCTGACTGAATTTTTTGTCATTAACTCTGAGATCTCCATTGTTGTGCCTGGGGTACCAATGGATTCTCTCCTTAGTGTCCACCATGATTCCTGTCTCACCTGACTTTTAACATTTTTAAATATTTAACTCTTTCTTAACCTGCAAAGGGGATATACTGCAAAACAAAGCCACAGATTTCAGCATCAACTTTATTTCTGATAATCTACCAGCCCCCGAATAGGTCCTGTAACAAAAATGGGTGGGAGCAACCTAGCCCTTTGCTTGGAATGATGTCCACCTGGCCAGAAGGAGAAGATCAGCAAGGCTAGGAGCATCTTGTAGAGGAAAGCTAGAGACTGGAAGACAGTCTTCTAGTAAATTGGTGTTTTGTAAAAGATTATGTTCTCTATGATAGTCATTTGTTAATGAGCAAGCTTCATTTCCAGCAGCCACTTTGTGAGGGTACCCCAAAGACATTCTCCAAGTTCCACAAGTGCCCAACCTGAAAAAAAATGGGATTAGCTCACAGCCTATGTCAAGTTGTTACAAATATAATTATTAGTATAATTTGTATAAACAGTAATACAAATATTAAATTCCATGTAAAATTATTCTGTGTTAATTATTTATTTCCAGTGCTTCCCAAAGTGTGGATGGGGACCTCTAGCACTAGATGTAGTCCAATTTCAAGTTTCCCAATCTTGCCTGCAATGAATTTCTTTTGTTTGTTTTTTTGCTACCATGGTAAATTGTTTATGTGACTCAAGCAATCTTTTTTGCCACAATTTACCTTTCACTTTTTTCTTGCTTTTCTTTTTTCTTCTACTCTGATTCTTTATTAAAATAACAAGATGTAACTGATACTCTAAATAGGTAAGCCTGCAGAATTCTGGGATGGATCAGAGGTACACCTAGTTAACTGGAACTCGATATCTTCACTGGTACTAAGGAAATCCAGGAGGGACATTTTGCTAAGTTCCTACGTAAACCCAACTCACTTTTCACCTCAAGGTTAACTAACTAGGGACTAAATTTCAAGAGACTTTTGTCTTTGAGTTTTCCCAGGAGCAAGACTGTCTTCTAGAGTATTGCATGGCATACATTTTCTAGGACTCTAGAAAGAATCGATCACACACACTCTTCTAGGAGCAGTAAATAAGCAGAGCACATTAGTTTTTATTATTTTATTTATGATGTGCTCAGCTCAACATCCAAGATACCTTAGGAGATATTCCCTACTTACAAGAATTTCTAGTGCTAGAAGATAAAGTTAGATCAGCACTCCGGTCATGTCAGCCTTACCTATTACCAAGTTGGAAGGCTATAAGAACTGATTAAATACCCACTGAAATATGGCAAGCAACAGAAGTAGTATCATAAAGGTTCTAACTAAGCTAAGTCATCAAATTCAGAGAATAACACAGTGGCCAACTAACTGGAAGAGGGAAAAGGCAACTATTAAGCATACAAACTATTGTACAATATCCTTAATTTCGCATGCTAGCAAAATAATGCTTAGGATCATCCAACGCAGATTAGAGCCCTGCATGGAAAAAGAGATGCCAGATGTTCATGTTGGCTTTAGAAAAGGCTAAGGAACACGAGATATTATTGCTGATACACACTGGATAATTGAGAAAGCCAAAAAATATTAAAAAGAAGTCACTATGTGTTTCATTGATTATTGAAAGGCCTTTGGGTTGATTACGTCAAACTATGGAATGTGCTCAGAAAAATGGGAATCCCAACATGTCATTGTCCTTATGAGAAACTTATATACAGTTCAGGAAGCCACAACACAGACAGAACATGGTGAAACAGACTGGCTCCAGTTTGCCAAAAGAGTGAGACAAGGCTGTTATATTTTACTGTTATTTATTCAATCTATATGCTGAATACATATTAAGGGAAACTGGATTGGAAGAAGATGAGTATGGTTTTAAAACTGGAGGGAGAAACATAAAATCTCTGCTATGCCGATGACACTACCCCAACAGCCGAAAATGCAAAGGATTTGCAAGCTCTAATAATAAAAGTTAAGCAGCAAAGTACTTTGGTTTTTCGAATGTCAGCTAAAGGGCAAAGGGACAAGTGATTTTCTGTGTTGAACTGTGCTATGTTGTGCTTCCTGAATGTGAACCTTTAATTTTGGTTTGCATTTCTTTTCAGGGCACTTAAAATTTGTGTCTGACAGACATGCAGTCATGCCTTCATTTTCTGAATGCTAAATACCCCACCACATATTGGCTAAAGAACTTGATTTTAATCTCATCTGCTGCTGGAGTAGGAAGGTTGCCTACCAAAACTCTAACACAGATGAACTTTCAAACCAACAAAAATTCAGTTCCTTGGAATGCATCTCTTATTTCTCATCTTTTAGCCTCAGATATAATTGAGGATTTCTGGTTGACATACCTGAAGACAACTAAGAAAAGAATAAAATTGTCCATATGTGACATCTTTGTTCAGCTGACCTGAAAAACAGAAATATTTTTAGTCAACAGCAGTCAAAATTAAAATATTCCTTGCTGGAAACACACAAGCAATCTGCTTGACAACGCCTTTATACTATTTGTATGCATGGATTAATAAACTAGCCAACCAGCCTTCCAATCAACTCCCTATCATTATCATCATTGTTCAGTGATGATTTTGACAGCAGGTGTGTGTATCATACAATATACTCTGCCGAGGCAGCACTTGCAAAAATTGTTATAGGAAGTGGCCATAGATGGCTTTTTTTTTTTAAATTGGATTTCTCTCCCACCCATCTCCCCTACAATAGGGGACTCTGGGCGGGTTACAAAAAGGTTAAAACTATAAATATATATAAAATACATCCCATATATACAATTAAAACAATACTACTTAAATTTTCTTCTTTCTGGACTGAAAATGTGGAGTCCTTAGGGTTCTTTGAACTTGGTTGTTTTCTTGCAGACGTTTCATTACCTGTTTAGGTAACATCTTCAGTGCTAGAAGGGAGTGGGGTTTGCTTTCCGTTTATATATAGAAACTTGCCCTGTCAGTGTTGGTGGGGGAGTTGTTTTTCTTGGTAGTTCCCAGATTAAGCTGTTGTTTACTGCTTGATTGTGTGTCTGCTATTAATCCTAGTGTTAATCTCTGCTTATCTGGGTGTTTGATTGCTGGAGAAGAGATCTTTTTGTTTCCTTTTTATTGTCTCTTTTGAATGGTGTGTAAATGTTGTTTATTTCTATGTGCCTGTTGATGGCTGATATGGACTGAAAATGTAAGCACAATTTGAAGCAGCCCTTCAGCTCTGCAATAAACTATTTGCAAATCTACAACACTTCAGGCTAAGTAAGATTGTTAAGGCACTGATAACAACCACTTTGTGAATGAGAGTAGAACAAAGTGGTTTTCATGGATTTCTTCTATATATTATCTCTGTAGAAAGAGAAAGTGCCTGAAACATTCACACAACATGTCTTCAATGAATAGATATTCTGTCCAAAATAGCACTGCATGCCACCATATGTTCTACTACTGCACCCATGTGATATTTTACACGTACAAAGAGCATTCTTTTTTTTTAATAAATTTTTTATTTTTTACAACAAACACAAACAATAGCATAAAAAACATAAAAACCATCTTCCATTTTAAACCGTGTGTCAGCCAGT